TAAATTTAACATTTTTAAATATTACATAAGATTAATAAATAATAATCATAGTCATCTATTCTTTATACGTGACTGGTATAAATATCTAATCAGAAAAAATATAAATTTAACATGTAATATCCGGATTTTGTGATAGACGAGATAATTATTTAATAAATTAAAATTAATTAACGACGCAATTTTTATTTTTCCCTCAGTATCATGGATAAAAAAATAAATATATAGAGATAAAATCACGGAAGTAATGGGCTTTGTAACAGGATGTAACAAGCCCGGCTAGCTCAGTCGGTAGAGCATGAGACTCTTAATCTCAGGGTCGTGGGTTCGAGCCCCACGTTGGGCGATTTAATTTTTGTTCCGAGAATTTGAGATCTTTATTGCATTTATAAATAAATTTAACATACTCCCATATTTTTCTAATACGCAATATTATGTGTGATTCCATTCATCGATAAAATAATTTTAACTATTTAAATTCCCCAACAGCTCACTCGCGTTCTTTCTGTAAGATAACTATGTATTTTGTACAAGATATTTTTTATAATATCGACAAATATAATCTTCGACTAATGTAGAGTTGATTGTTTTTGGAAAAAGAACGTTGAACTTTCGTATAAACTTTTACTTAAAATTGTACTAAGATAAAATCTATTAAAAATTATTTACATTTTTAGCTGCTCAAATTTCAAAATATATAACAAAATATATAACAAAAATTGTTGCTATATATTTCACTTACGGTTAATTTTCCGTTTCACCTATCTCTACATTTGATTGACTTATTGTTAGTATCCACGCAGCTGCGATCAATTACTTTCTAGCAAGCAATGACAATCATTAATATTTATTAAGACAGTTATGAGTGTCAAAAAATTTTGTCTATTTGTTATTATTTTATTCAACACTCACTGTGCGCATCAGTACGCACAGAAGTTTGCGTAGATTATTTGAACTTTGTATCTGAGAAATTATAGTTAATCAGAAATCTTGAAAGTAATATTGCTTTCATCATTATATATAATAAACATGTATTGCGACAGTTAACGTTTATTCCATAAATATTCCTCAATTATGTGTAAACATTTCGAATATTTTTAAAATGGTCAAAAAACAAGTCTGTTCAGTCTAAAGATCATTATTTCTATTTTTTTTTAAAGAAACAAAGAAAATGCACATAATATTTGATTATTTGTTTAAAAGATCTTGAAGATAATTGATCTTTGAAATGCATTTTTAGACATTTCTTAGAAACTTTATTAACAACTTTTCTTAGTAACCCGGTAAATTATTTTTTATCTGATCTCTAACGATGTTTAACTTGTCTAGAAATAATTAACGTAATAAATTTTAACAAATATTTTTTATCTTTATTGATATCTAATTGCTGAATATCCCAATTCGTAATATCCTCACGATATATTCACAATTTTCACCCGCATTAAGCCAAATTTTACGGTTTCTTTTATTCTTTCCATATTATATATTCTACTAATAATCTAAAATTTTCTTAATTATACAAGTTCTATTAATAAGATTCTATCAATTATGTAAATTTTTATTGTTTGTGCATCTACTATCTTATTCCTATACTAATATGAGAAACAATGCGTTCCAAATATAAAGTAACGTTGAACGGAGAATATTTGAAAAAGAATTATATAGCAATTAAAATGCCAATATAAAACCAAAAACAATCAGATTTCTTGGAAGAACATTTAATCAGTTTTGAAACTTCCTTCTTTCTGTAATCTTCAATTTTAAACCAAAACTATCTCACATTATCTCAGTACAATATGGTAAATAACTAAGTGATTCACTCCTAGATTATAACATAACTGCAAGACAATGGTCCTCACAATGAGTTAAGCTTTTAGACAACGTTATTTTCCTTTCTATTTCGAAAGATAATATAAAGATAAATACGTATCTTTACTTATCTCTAGGTAAATATATCAAAGAAAATATACACGCAAAGTGATCTTGATCACCAATCTGAACAAACTAAGTAGTCGCCATATCGCCTGAATATTACTATATAATTATGCACGCAATAAAAGAAATGGCTTTTTTATCAACAGTTTCAAAATTTACGTGTTAATAATTTTTTATAAGTCAAATGTCAAAAATACAAATAGAAACAAAAATATTACAAAAATATAAAAATATGTTTATATTTTTATTATTAAATAAGATTTTATTGTTAAGATATTTATAAAGTTTCCATTGTCAAAAAGTAAAGAGCTACGGCAAATAACTGGGAAATTTTTTGTCAAAAGCAAATGAGTTCTAGCAATATCGTAAGAATCTATATTTATAAAGATATCCAAAGATTTTTTGGAACGCTCTGAATCATTTCGTGTCAACCTCCGCGTTCACGTACTCGATAGTACCGGAAATTCGACGCATAGCAATAAAATGACTAGAGCTTCGAGAATGGTATTTCTCCATTATCTTTGTATAAAGTGAGGAAGAGCATGTAAAAAGCAGACATTTCCACTTCTGGTGTGCGCCGCGCGCCGCGGCAATAGCTTTCTTAGAGTGAGCGACCGAGCAATCAATATATATCGTTCTATATACGTACATTTATGCGTTTAGGGACGATCATTGCCTTAATCGTCACGTTTCTTCGGAATAGAATTGCAATTCTATTTATTATCAAATCCTGTATTTTAATTTAGTAAAAATTACACGTGGAAATAACGTTAAAACTACTAAAAGCTAAACAAAAAAATTTTCATGTGTCCTATTAGGTAGAAATTCATGCAATATATCGAATGTTGTGATGTAAACAACATTATTTATACATTCACGACGTTAAAAGTTAATTTATTCGTATAAATAAAACTGAAAATTCCGATGTTAATTGCAGTTTATAAAAAAAGTATTAATCGCAAAAATTTAATTCAACTGAGAACCATAAAACGATCTGCTTTTTGTCCGCAGAAGCACCCGGCGTGCCGTTTAATCCGGGCAACGTTCGATCTCAAATAAGAGAGAAAACGGGAAGAAGAAGATGCAGTCGAAGGAAAGGAGAATTCGCAACCCGCAGCAGGCGGATAACAATAGCAGCAGCAACATCTGATCACATTGTCGCACGTGTACGTCGGTCGGCGTGAAAGAAACGTCAAAAACCGCCGCGCTAAAAGGAGGTGCACGCGGAAGAAGGTGACGGCGAAGAAGAGCAAGAGAGAAGGAAGAAACGGCGGAGAAATCCTAACGCGGGCGCGCGTGCAAGAGGCAATTTCCGAGCGATTCATCTTCTCAGGTTTGCAGGTGTTCGCGTGCGTCCTTCACGGCCCTTGTCGCCGATCGTCCTTTTCTTCCCGTCAGCGAGTGGTAGCTCTCGTTCGCTCTTCTATTCCGCGATCATACGACGGCAGAGAAAGAGAGAGAGAGAAAAAAAAGCAGAGAGGAACGAGAACACGCTGCTCACCAGTGCAATAGACTTGGCATAGACCGGCGCGCGATCCGTGATCGAAGAGGCGAGGTTTACGCGAAAAGAACGGAATGAAAAGAAGAAGGACGAGAGAAGCCACGACGGACAGAGAACGGCAGAAGAACTCAGGGCAAGGGAATCATCGAGAGAAGTAAAGAGAAGAGGAGCACCGAGTGAGACGGAGACAAGGATAAACTTTAACGAAGAAGAGACTGACCAGCGATTTCCAAGAGAGAAAGAAAGAGAAAGGGAGGGGGGAGGAAAAGCTACGACGCGTGGTGGTGGTCATCGGTAGTGGTGGTTGCGTGGTAGCGGACGGAGAGCAAGCGAGCATCCAGATCTGTCGCGTGCTGCCTGCTACTCTGGAATCGGACGGAACGGACAGCGGTACTACGGCGGTGCCGAGAAAAACAGAACGACGGCGAGGACGAAGACGAATTTCGACAAGACGGCACGACGTTGCGGTAACGACCGATCGACAACGACAGTGACAGTGACGGTGACGACGAGGACGACGACGGTGACGACAACGACGACGACGACGACGACGACGACGTCGACGGCGATAGTGACGGCTGACGGCAAATATTAATCGGCCGGCCGGATCTCTCGGCCGGAACGCGGGATGGATGCTGTTGTGAGTAGAACGAGTCGAGTCGTGTGCCTCGCTGATATAGTGTTGGTGGTTTCACTCTCGGCTGCTACCTCCGCCGCCGGGCCATCGTGGTGTGCGCTCGTGTGCCGCCGCCACCGCCACCACCGCCGCCGCCGCCGCCGCCGCCGCGCCGGTTCCGTCTCTCTACGAAAGCGAACCGTGGAGCGTGCCCGGCGAGTCGGGGAAGAGAACCGCGGCACTCGTTCAGTAGTTTCTCGGACGCCGCACCGGCACCATCCGACCCTGGGAGATAACCCCGCGCGCGGTCGCGACCCCCCCTTGTGACAATTGCATATGTATGTACACGACGCCTGACGAGCGCGTGGCCCGACACCTTTCTTTCGGCGCGGACGCGAAATCGTCGCGGCAAATTAGCGAACAACCCCCATCGTCCACCCCGAACTGCAAAAAATCAGTTGTAAGCGGAATCTCCGCGACGGATCTTTCGGAGAATTTCGGAGAAAATTTTTTCAGGCCGTGTGAACATATTTTCGAAAGCGTGGCCGCGGTTGTAGATGTCAATTTTAATTGTTTTCCTTTTTGACTTGTTACGCGATCGTGCGAAAATTCGTGACAGAAATATTCTCGTTTTCGTAGGTATCTTCTGGTAAGCGAACCGATCCGATAATGATATCCCGTGTCTGCGAGACATCGATCGAGGAAGGTTCGATGTTCTTTTGCGAGTGGTGATAATTAGCAGTGAAGCAGTGATAGTGCGTTACGTAAGATCCTGCTGCTCGGGCCAATCCTTCGCGAAAGGACTCTCCCGCGCGTGACTCCGAAGGGATCGCGAGATCCTCAGAAGCAGAGAGATCAATATAAAAAACGACCAAAGGAAAAAAAAGGAAGAAAAAAGAAAGCCGTTAGGACAGTGTAAAGTAAAATAACGCGTGTCTGCTCTCGCCGATTGACAAGCAATCGGAAGAGAAAAAAAAACAAGAGACAAGGACAGAGCGAGATCGTGGAAAGTAACCGGTAGCGTCAACCTGCATACCGCGACGAAATACCCGTTTAAATAGGATCAGTCGAACGTCATCGTCGACGGTCAGTCGATCAACTCGCTGCCAGAATCATTCGCGGTGTATCGACGGTATCGCGCAAAGAACGATTGTACGTTGAGATTCACCGGCCACCCCGATGCCGTCCTGTGAATCGTCAATTCGCATCTGCGGCGGATCGTTTCGGGTCCCGGCGATCAGCCGGAGCGACAAGAACTAAAGACTGCGCCAAATCTGTAGTACGCGCACACAACTGCACTCGCCGCGGTACGACCAGCGACAGCCGCAATAATGCGAGAGAACGAAAAACGCAAGAACAACGGTGTACGGACGATGACACCGGACCGGCAGCAGCCGCATCCTCCGTTCCCCGCGGCGCACGTCTCCACGAGGCAACATTTTCAGAAGCGGAAGTGACCGAAAGTCACGGCGGAGCTGTAATGTCAGCTGGTGACTCTCGCGGCCTTCATCGATACCGCATCGACGACAACGAGGGCGAACCGATCGCGGTGCGAACCGATCGGCGCCCTGCGACGACGTTTGAGACGTGAAAATACCGAAAGCGAAAAGACGACGATCGATAAGAAACCTAAACGGGAAACGGCGGTAGCGCGGATAGGGAGGAGGAGGGCAAAGGAAGAAGCGTCGGATGAGACCGTCATGCCCGCTGAGACTGACACGGACGGGCATAGGGTGCTGCACTGTGATTACCGTGCCGACTGCCCGACCGCGAGGCCGATTCACGTGTCGACTCCCGCGAATAACGAACGCCGCATATTCGATCGCGCGTATTCGGACCGCCGGGGCGTGAGCTCGCTCGTTAATACCGATCGCAGTCCTGCGGGACTTTCAGAAATCGACGAACATGAATTAGTCGAGCGGAAAAGAGCCCCGAAAGATCGACGACGGAGAACCGAAGAGCGGGCGAGAAAAGCGGAGCCGTCGCATTGCCGCGGCGCAAATTTGCTGTCCAGCGTAGGTCGGGATTCGTCCGCAAGCATTTCGAGGATCGATGACGAAGAAAGGAGAATTTTCAACGAGAGTGATTTGCGAGCAAAAAATCGCACACTAACGCAACCGCGTCGAAATCGAAGAGCAGTCGGACTCGCGTGTCTCGCATCGGCAAAGTCTCCCGCGATTGAGAATGTCTCCAAGGATGAACGTTTCTCGATCGCGTGGAACTCGCAGGAAGACGCGAGCGTGCACGACAAGGTCGAACGAGCGGAATCGCGGCTACGCGACCAGACGGAACGATCTCGACTCGCGATAACGGACGCGAATGCGAACCAGATCGCGAGGCGTCGAAGTCTCCAGGATCGATCTTGGACAAGTTCGCGGCCGTCGTTCTGCGGGAGAAAAGATTTCGACACGGGTCCGATCGATCATACGGAAAGGACGCGGGCCGCGAAAGGAGCTCCTCTTCTCTCTAGTCATCACTCGCACACTCGCTCGAAAGATGGATCCTGCGAGGAGGATTCTAGGAATGTCAGTCGGAGATTTTGTCGCGGAAAATTCGGCAACGACGACGCGTGGGCGAGGGAAAATGCGCGAATAAACTATTCGAAACCACGCGACGAACAGCTGGAGGAACAGCAGACTAGAAGAATCGACCTCGCAAACAGGAAAAAAGTTAAACGTGCGCGTCGCGTTCGCTCGTTCCTCCAGCTGGTTCTCTTGCTCCTCGTCGCGTTCGGACGATACGGGACTCTCGGCTCGACGAGTGTGGTTAAGTTTAGTGCGAGATCGACCGCGAGCGGCTTAAGTGTCTTGGGGATCGGCGCAATTATCGGTGCAGTGAGTGCAACACCGATCGATCTGACCGGCGACGCGGGCATCCGGGCCGAAAGGTCGGCCAATCTCTCCCACATCACCGGAGCCTCGAGAAAGATACGGATGTACATCAAGAACCGGTATCTGCAGATCCTGCCGGATACCACGGTGAATGGTTCTAACGACGACACCTCTGACTACAGTAAGTACGACATCGTATGCTCTCGTTGAACGGTTAATCGATCAATTATCGATGAACAAATCGTTAGAAAACTAAAACGTACAATCGTGCAAGTAGAACGTGTATACGTATACGTACAGCGTTCTAAGCGAATTTTTTATTAATTAATTAATTTACTTTTTTTGTATTCAAAAAGTACTTGTTAATATTTCAATCAATTCATTTTTTTCGCAGAATTTGTTAAATCTATCGAGTTTGAGAAAATGTTAATAGAAGTAAAGCCGCGAACGGCCTTGTGCAACAGTATGTTACAGAATTTAAAATTTAAATTTTAAATTCGCATATTAATATTAAAGCGCAGACTGATTAAAACCATCTAACTAATTTATTTTCGTGTTGATCACGCGACGTTTTCAAAATAACTACGAATTTATTTAAATGTCGGATTGGTATCTTTTTTCACTTCTAATAATAACTTTGTCGTATATTCGGATCTGATGGTTTCTTAGATTAAATCACGGCTGCCACAATTCCAACAAAGTATTACAAATGAACGAAATAGCAAATGAACTGTTTTGTTATCTTGCACAATTAACAATTGAAAAGTTAACTCAATGAAGATTACGTTACATTACATTCTTCTGAAAACTGAATTATGTTTCCATAGAAATTAGAATAAAATATAGAAAATTTGATATGAAAATAGGAAACATAATACAACTAAATTATTATTTAATTAATTATTAAATATTTACAATTTACAATTATTTTTTCGTATATTGTGAATTTGAAAATATGCAACATATACTTATTTCATAAATTTATATCACTACTTATTATATAAATTACAATAAATTAAAGAATTTCGTATTTTTATCTTTCATTATAATCAATAATTTTGTAGTAAGTATTCTAAATATGATGCACTATTTCGTCTCTTTGCAACTTTGATTCATTTATGGCCCAAGCGACATAAAAACGCTTACATCTCTTTCTGCATTATGTGAATAGCTTTAATCCGACTCGATATCTGTGAATTGTTTTGTAAAATCGTTGCAACTCTCTAGCGGGTGTAAAATTTCAACCCGAACTACAACTGTATTCGAGCGACTCGTGCCATCTGTGATTAATGAACGTATAATCGAGCATTGCTCTTGAATCGTCGATTTGTCTATTCGATGCTAATTCTATACGCATATTCATGATATTCTTTATGCGATATCAAGAAGTTCTTTGACATTTGATATTTGAAATCATTTAATTTTGTTAGCGTCCTAATTTGTCGGTGTGCTTTTATCACCACGTTATAATTTTACTCAACATTGATTGAATAAATTTCGGTATTAAAAGCGCATAAAAACTTGACAAAGGTTTTAATTCAAATCTAACTTGCATTTGATATTCCGAATTGTCGACTCGATGAGCAACATTCCGATCACTGCAACGAAGAACAACGCCGATAGAGTCGCATCGCTGGTTCGCGATATCGCTAACACTGTTGAATGATTTGGCGTCCTAATTCGCGTTTTGCGCGAATTAGTTCCGACCCATAAAATTGAATTATATCTTAAAAACATACTTGCAGACAGTGTTCAGATCTATATCTGGCACAACTTTTGGATCTTTCAGCAAAAATGTTCTTTTTGTGCGAAAATTTAAGACGGATAATCGATTAAACTACGTTTAGATTGATACTCGGTGTAAAAAAAGATACTAACAAAACGAAACAGTCTGTGCGATCGGATCGCGAAGAAAGTCGATCCAAGAATACCACGCTCGTAACTAGACCACACCGACCTTTGCTGAAACTTCGATCGCACGCCGACTTGTTCGGCCGTTAGGTCGAAAGTGCCATCCTATTTGCATTCCCGTGCATTCGTTTACTCATGTGCAATAAAATTAGGTTAGCCAGACCACCTAAAGTTTAACTATCTCCTAAGCTTCACCCAAAGTTCGCTAATTGGAAAACTTTGATAGACTATCTAAATTATCCCAAGAGAGAGAGAGTTTTGACATATTCTGTACATTACTAACACACACTGATATAATGATCTGAGCACTGACCTCGTTCATTTATATTAGATATAATAAATAAAAAAGTATAACCGCAAGTGAATTAACTCAGCGTAATTTCTCTGATTAGATAATGTGACTCATATTTAAATATCGAGGGAAAAAAATATCTAAAAATAAAAATTATTTTTCGAAAATACAAATTCGTTCTGAGAACTGATAATTATATTAATATATACGGTTACAATATCTGACCACCGCGAAATTTGTAAAACACGCGATTATAGAGATTTTAACATTTTTTTTTTTTTTTAATAAAATGTCGCAGAGCATTAAAGCAAAAATAAACACGACACTACAACGTATATTTTTTTAAATCAATAATTATTCGCAAGCGTGATTTACATAAATGGCATAACCGGCAGCAACTGATACCCGCACAGGCATCCATTTGCCCGACACCGTTCGCGCGCCCGATGTTCGCCGGGGAAATCAATGAACCATCTAGTTCCGCCGCACGTCCACTGTTTGCCGCCTAATTGCTTTCTTTGCGTAATGCGTGCGCGAATACGTGCGTGCATGCGTGCCTGTATATTCGCGCGCGTAAAGTGGCCGGGACGAGCGGTGTCGGCGATGCATTTTTTTTTCTGACTTGGAAGGAAACCCACCCAAACGTGATGCCGATGACGAGGACGGGCGCCCTCGGTAATAGCGCGACTACTTTAATCTCAGGCCGGGATAATTGGAGTTAAACATTCCGTGCAATCGCGCCGCGCTGTCAGACTAACCGCTCCGGCGGATCAATCATCGAGGAATTCAACCGGTAGAATCTCGTTTCTGGATTCATTCGTCTTCCTTAGCAAAGAAGGACTTCACCTAGGAATGTTAACGCGCGCAAGTCGATAGCATCGGCGATCAAACGATCGCCGACGAACGGGGCGAACGAGTCAATGAACGATTACGATTTTCTCGTTTACGGAATCGATATATACATTTTGATTGAAAAATTGACTGCTGACAAGCGACATAAATACAACAGTTGAAAGCTGTAAACATTCATTAATTGTTATCATTAGAATTTAAAAGAGGATAATATGCGGTGGATGAACGCTTTAAGACGCTCGACGATATTAAATTTCTGCTAATAACGATAACGATTGTCAAAGGAGACTGGAGACAAGACTAAGCAATAAATCTGCTGCTCAGATTTCGTAATGACGGAAGCGTCAAAGAAATTTAGCCGTTTGGATAACGTTATTATTAAAGAAAACATGATAACTAACCGAATACAGAAATATACCGAAAGAGATCACGAGATGATGACCCGTTAGCATTGGACGTCCCATAGATTCATTCACGAAACTTTATGAATGATAACGATATAACTACGCGATTCTATATGACAGATTTAAACTCATCGTAAAAATAAATTTTTAAGATAAAAACAAGGCTACGAAAATGTGCTTTTGTATAATTATTTCACAGAAACTTTTTGCAAATTCAGCCTTTTTATAAAAAACTTTTTATAAAATATCATTTTATAAAAAATTGAGCATTTTATAAAAAAAAGTGTATATTATAAAATATGTATATTGGTATCATGTTTTTAACGATGCATCTGTAAATTTAATTAAAAAATTCAGTAAAAAAATAAGGAAGAAATTATTGAATCAAATGAACCCTGTGATGAGGTTAATTTCGCGGTTGCTCGAATGTGCATTAAAGATTTAACATTGTGGGAAAGTGCTGTATGTGTCTTACTGTTAACGAGCTTCTAATGATTAGGAAGATGCGCTAATTTTTTCGCAGCTTGTTAATGGAAATTATAAATTTCCACAGTGTCATTAAGCAATTAGTACATTCCGTATGCATGCATGCGTGTCTACGCGCATTTCAACGCAATGCCATTTATCCTGATTTGCGCTTATTCCGTACTTCCGTATCGCGATTAAATGAATACACTATTCCTTACCCATATAAGCGCACAAATATCACAAGCAAAAATGTCCTCATAGATTTGCATATCTTATTTCTAAACAAGGTCTGCGTAACCGGTTAGAGCACAGTTACCCTAAAACCTTGCGAAATTCTCGATAAAGAAAATCCAAATAATCCAGAACAATAATGCAGAACAAGATTGACGACACTTTTTTTCTGAATCCGATTTAAAGATGTAAATTATAATAAATGACCAACACTTTAAGCTCGGTTAGCCGAGCTGGGCCGGTGACGACAGCTTAAGGAGTGGAAGTGTCACGCCTGATCCGGCAAAATACTGAGTTATCGCCGAACTCGTGGCTGGAACTAGTCAATGATAAATACTCAAACATATAATGGCGAACTTTAATACAAAACTACACTTCATGCGTAATACAGACGCGTTTTATTTTTATTCTCGTATCTGCTAGCATGTTTGATATTGCGATAAATTGATGAGAATACAAACTTCAAATTCAGAAAGAAATACTTTTACAATTTAATTATTATTAATTTATATCTCTTTTATATCAAATTATGCAAAATTTACATGTTTATATATAATATATCACATAATAATATAATATTTCAAAAAACATGATTTTTTTTTAAGATTGTTTTATCTGTTATTCAATCTATCGCAGTATGATTCTCATTCGGCAATTGCGCATAAAGTTTCGAGAGAGACTCCCAAAGTAGGATTCAATCTACAAGCTCTATATCAAAAATTTACTACGCTTAGCTATCGCAATCCTTTTACGGTCTTCACCGGCATATTGCGGGTGGTCAAGTCGAAGCCGTTGGCTAGGTCCCGAAGAATCGTCCAAAAACAAAAAAAGGTGCACAACGAAACTATTAATAAAGCAGCACGAAAGCCAACGGCGCAGGTTGCACGTACGAGCCACACGAAAGGGAACCATTTAATGTCCGATGACCCGGCTCTAAATTCTTTTCGCAAGAATACACGGGGTCAATTGCCTTAAATCGTGATATCAGGATACGGCGACAAACCTGCTTATGAATGAACGTGG